CGATGTTGGTAAATCGTATACAGGGTTGCTGGGTAAGTCGACCTTCATACTTTAGTACATGTTTTCTACTACATGTGCGACTTAACTGTCTTAGTTTTTTTAAGTATTCGTTAACCTATATACTCGTATTAAAACTATTTTATTCTTTGATTACTTTCATTTTTGATATGTGAATACCTAAAGGCTTCCTATGACGGCTGTAAGTGAGAAAATTGAGTTTTTTTATAGGTCGAATACGACCCAATGATCAAATTTGTTACTTAAAATTTATGATTTATTTACGGACATAATTCGGGACAAAACTTAAGGATGAAACTGAGAAAAGCATTTTGCATTGACATCGTATTTACGGCACGCCGTTACAGTTTTATTTTTGCACAAAGCACAGCGAAGTCTCCGCAGAGCCTTTTCTATAATATTCTCCATACCATATGCGGTACGATAGTTCGGACCTTTCCGAGTAGTTCTAGGTAAAAGCTTTTCGGTACCCTGTTCTGCAACAAAGTGCGGGCAATGTCGAAACTCCATTGTGTCGATGGTTTTCATTTTTTTTTCCGGTATAAGGGGCCAAACGAGCAGACAAGTCACCTGATGGTAAGCAACTACCGCCGCCCATGGACACCTGCAACTCAAAAGTCACAAGTGCGTTGCTGCCCTTGGAGTCCCTCCCGTTCGAGTCAGCGGATTGGGGAGATTTGGATTTTTGTGTTTTGGATTGCTCTCAACAGAGCATAACCAGACAAAATAAGGAAAGCAATATATTTCTTGGTCTGACAAAGAGAAACTCTTATTTAACGATTAAATAGCATAAAATGTAAATGTGTCTGGCTATGTGAACAATTACTTTACGATCGAAAAAGATTCCCGAAAGAGTCACTATTTTCAGACAACGTACAAACAGACTTTTTTTATTGACGAGGTTTAAAATCCCTTCGCATCTCCGGCTCCTCGGGGACACAGGAGCCAGGAGTATGTGGTGTTTCTCAACTATAATTTCTGATTAAATAATGCTTGCAATATACAGAAGATGTGTCCTTTTTCTTTTAAAGTTGCACCGACTTCTAACAAAACTAACAGAGCAATAAAAACCTAGCAGCAAACGCGGTTGATTTGATGTCATTTTTTTAAAGAGTTCCGTTGTCTGTCTCTGGAACTATTCAACAGATGTAAATGCAATTTAAATGTGACTATTTCGGAATAAACTCCTTTCGAAACAAAAAAGAATTTTGAAAATCCGTCCATACCTATATGACGAAGTTATTCCCGAACATACATAAAAAAACAATATAAACAACCGAATTGATGACCTCCTCCTTTTTGAAGTCGTTTAAAAACAAGAATTATACAGTACTAGCTGATCCGCGCAACTTCGTCTGCGTCTCTCAATAGTAATAAATTTTCTCCGTTTTTGAAACATTCTTCATTGGTGCTCCGCTCCTATTGGTCTTAGCGTGATGATATATAGCCTACAGCCTTCCTCGATAAATGGGCTATCTAACACTGAAAGATTTTTTAAATCAGACTAGTAGTTCCTGAGATTAGCGCGTTCAAACAAACAAACAGCTTCAGCAACAGCAGCAGCAGCAGCAGCAAACTCTTCAGCTTTATAATATTAGTATAGATTAGTATAGATGAGTGAGGATATGTTAGGACTAATGTGATGGTAAATGATTTAACTGTATCCATATTACTCGTAACAACAAATCCCGGGCAAATCATCATCATCACAACCCTTTAATGATCTACTGCTGGACATTGGCCGCTCCTTAGAAAGGAGGTGTTGGCCTACTATACCAGTTGGTACGGGTTGGTATAGGGTTTGATTCAAGTTTTCCTTCTCTTTGCAGTGTTGTTATCCCGCGTAGTTTGCTTCGTTGGTCGGCTCTTTCATCCACGGTATAAATAGGGGTGGTGAAACTCCATATTCTTAATCCGCCACCCCACGGGCACCCGTGCAAATGGTACTTTTTAATAAATATGAATATCGCTCACAAAAGATATTATTGTAAGGAAAAGTAACTCTAACACTACTGCTTATGACTGATGAAGCAAATAAGTACTTTCGATTTCATTTATTAAAATTGAATGACGGCCTCGAGACTAAGCTACCTTGAAATTATCTTTAACATATCAGGAACTAATCAATTTAAAATTCGTTAAACTGCACAATCTTCTACAGTGTACAGTCACCCTCAAAAAGAATTGTCCGTCAAAAAATTTCCATTTTAATCAGTACATCCATTTAAATGAACATAGTTCTTGGATGTAGTGACTAAACACAATGTTTACAGTTTCTTATAAATTCTAAATATACATCGGGTTCATAATTGTGTGACATGTAACGACAGTCCGCCACTGTGACAACACCAAAATTATGTATAAGTATGTTTTTTATGGTATTGGGGGCAGAGGAGGAGATGGATCACCCGATTGTTTAACAATGTTACATGTATTCACACTCAAAGTGCATACACACATACACACATATTTATATAGGTATATATGAATGAATCTAACGTAACAAATTAAACGTTGTTTGCGTATAGTTTTTGTGGGTGACTGTACGTGTATACCTATGTGGTAGAGAGAACTAATATTCAAGACAGACTAAAATGGAACGAAGACAGTCACCATAAGCAAAAAATTATGTATACAACTTCCATTGTTAGAAGCAATTACATGAAAAATAAAAATTGAACATTTTTATGCTTATATTGAGGTAACTTATGTATTGTTTTAAACTAAATTGGACTTTATATACTCTTTAAATTAGGGTCACGCTTGCCTGTCTCTTTTTTGTACCCCGTCGTTGGTGATAAAAGCTATTACTCCCGTGTCCCGTACTTTATTTCTGAAGTTATTAATGATTTTACCAAGAATAAGATCTTTCTTGAAAGGGTTTGGGTTTTTTTTTAAATTCTTATTTTCGTTCGCCAAATTACGGAAGTCAATTTATTAATAATAACATACAAAGTATTTATAATAGAACAATCCACACTAATATCATAAATGCGAGTGTCTCTGTCTGTCTGTTTGTTACCTCTTCACGCTTAAAACACTGAACCGATTTAGATGAAGATTGGTTGAGTCCCGGGAAAGGACATAAGATAGTTTTCATCCCCGAAATCATCTCTTAAAGAGGTGAAAAGGGGGGGGGAGGGATTAACAGGAAATTAAAAACTACTGAACCGATTCTAATGAGATTTGGTATGAAGATAGATTGATTCTTGAGAAAGTACATAGGCAATTTTTTACCGTGATAACCGATATACAGGCAGGCGGAGCCGCAGGTAAAAGCTAGTAGGATAAAAATAATCTATCTCCATCACCAATTATAAGGATAGTAAATCATTTTAAATTTGACAACACTGCAATAATTCATGCTTCTACTATCTATATGACGTCATCATAAAGAAACAACATGGCGTCAAATGTCAATTTACGCGGGGAAAATTTAAAATATTATTGTAATTTTTTTCAGTATTAATATGTATTTATTATTGGTATTAATCCTAATATTGAGAACATTAATTGCTCTTAAAGTAGAGCCTATATTATGTGATGGGGTGGTATTCGACCATAAATATTATGAGAGACAAATGTTATTTGGAACTTTAAATGCACCCACGAACCTGGTCATGCATATGTAAGTAACTCCTATTTATTTCACAAATATATCTACAATTCGGTAAACGGAGTCGAAATTTTCGACAATAGCTAATCTGAGTTACTAGTGTGACCTGACCAGCTTTCTATTACTTGCCCTATTACGTTAGTGGTAAGTAAACTACACAGGACAACAGAACCGCAAAGAGAAGGAAAACTTGAAAAAACTCTATACCAACCCGTCTGGCGAGCGTGGTATAGTAAGCCAAAACCTCCTTTCTAAGGAGAGGCCTATGTCCAGCAGTGGACTACTGAAGGCTCTTGATGAACTGAACCCTCTAATGCCGGCTGACGCAGGTGATCACTGGGAAAGGATGTTTCGGAGATCACCTTTGTCTGATCCGCAAGTAGCCTAAGCCTGATTGCCACCACTGCGGTTGCCGGACCGTGGACAAGGTGACCCACACGTTGGCAGAATGCCCGGCGTGGGTGTAGCAGAGGCGTGACCTCGTGGTGGCCATCGGAGTGGGAGTCCTCTCGCTCGGTAATATGATTGCCGCCATTGTACGGAGCGAAAGTGCGTGGAACGCCGCCGTCTCCTTCTGTGAGCAAGTTATGCTTACGAAGGAGATGGCGGAGCGGGATCGGTAGAGGATTGGAACTCTCCCGGCCCGGGAACTGGCCAGGTACCGCAGACGACCTCCGCCCTCCATAAGCGCAAGCCTGACAGATGAGGCCATCTGTCACCCTAGCTGAAGCAGGCAGGGTGGCGGTTTTTGGTCGGTTCGAGTCCGACATAATCACTTCGCCGGTGCGTTATATCCCAGGGGATTGCCGCTCAAGAACAAAAATAATGGTATTCGAACCCAATGCCTACGGCTTAGCAGTCAGGGTCATTAACCACTAGACCAACAGGCCCGTCGATTCATTTGGGGTCCCTAGTTACTTTTCAGCTTTCATTCTCCTTGATTACTCGACATCCTCGTTCACACACTTCTTTACTTCATTGCAATGGTTTAGGCTTGTTATTTTATGGTTCGTCGCCTGCCTGAAGCCAAACCTTCTTGGTAATGCGGTCGTTTTTCGTACATAGTATAAAGCGAAACATTTTTGGGTATTCCAAACACCCAGAATTTTACCAATTGTTAAACCAAACAGCTGTACAGTCCTTTTTCTAGGGTAGCCTTAGTGACATTAATTCCTTCACCTAAGCGTTAAACCAGACATTTGAAAATTTCTAAACTCTTCTTATTAACAAAGGCACATTACAGTTAATTAGATATGGGCGTTTAGTACACCTATTTTTTATGTGGAAACCATCTTGGGTAATACCTGACTGGGGCTACCGATGAGGCCGAAACGGACTGACTAAAACCACATGGTGTGCGCTTAAAATGAGAGAAGTGTTGGTGCTGCGAGGGTATGGCCTCAACTACTTCTTTTTTATTTTCACTTACCGTAACATTTAGACAAGGGTTTTACTCTCGACAGGTATACAGGAGAAGTATTCTTCAGTCACACTGTCCAAGAAGGTACTAAACCGGACTTTGTCATCAGGGTTTGTGATGTTGACAAGAGACTCTGCAAAGACTTAAGAGAAGTAGCTGGAGGTGTGGCTATAGGTTACGATCGGGCCCATCACGACGTTTATTTCGGAGGCCGAGATGGTATTTACAAATACAGCCGGACAAAGCAAACAGCACACTTCTTTGCTGCACACGGAAAACAAATATGGGATCTTTTTATTAATAATTTTTTATACTATATAGAAAGTCGTACAAAAAAACTCTTAGTATACAAACAACATCATTTTTCACCTGTAGAGCAATTTAAAAATATACAAATGGATAACATATTTATATCAAAACATGGTTCTGTGTATTTTTCTAATCGAACAGCATTGTACAAATGTGATAAAATAAACGAAACTGCAAACGCTATTTATAAATTGGTTACTGTAAGGCAAATTGTTCAACAATACAAATCTGATAGAGTTTATTTTGCTACCGGTGATGGTATATATTACGTTCACGATTTAGCCACACACCAAGCTAAGATTAAAAAAGCTGCTAACATTAATCAAGTATTTGGTATGACGTTCAGAAATACCACACAGTCTAAATATGAACCGATACAGATTTTATATTCAGATAAAAATGCTATTTATAAATTAACACCGAGTAAAAACAGTGATGTATGTTTCAAAGACAGAAAGACAGCTTTAAGATACATTCCTCGTCAAAAAACTAAAGAAATTAAACGTGATAAGAATGTAACGCGCAACAGTACTGAGTTGGCGAAGTCTAAGAGGATCCAAAAACCACGTGCGCATCGTATGATGTTTGCGATTGGATAAAGATGGTTGAGGTACCTAGTATAAGACATATTTTTAAATAAATTTTGAAAATTTGCGACAAACATTTATGTATGTTATTGATATATCTTTTGGTATACTATAAAATTTGTATATTTATGTTATTCAACCTATATACTAAATCATGATTTCGTTTTTCTGCCCGTTTTATGTACACTCTTGTACACTTGTCTACATACGATGAAACTAAAAAGCATGAGGACTAACAGAGACACGCCGAAATCCGGAGTACAAAAACGCGAATTATTCATAACGATTACGATATGAATATTCTCTCGCCGATTAGGGTGGGCCGCAGTTCGCCAGGCATGATCACCACGCCCTTGGTCGGAAGATCCTCCATTTGTGTTTGAGGAACATGACACCCGTTCCTCCACTCTCATCATTTTATTTGGGATAGGTGTAAAGTGAAACATTTTTGTACAAGGGATTTTGGATTTCATTTTTTTTACTTTTAATAATTTTATCCTTCTGAGAGAAGAAAGAAAAAGGAATATTAGGCTAAGAAGAAGGGATAGTGTAAGGGTTTTAGGGTAAAGTACCGGTTAATAAGTCTCGGATGGAGGAAACGGTTCTGGAACTTCAGTAGCTTGAAGAAACTGTGTCGCACAATCTTATTTATATTAACAAAAATTTCCAGTCTTAAGTTCAGCCAGGATACAATTTTGATAGTTTTAATTGGAAATAGAGGCAATTTAGATAGGCAGAGTTTGCTGCATTATTATAATAAACTATGTGCACTTAATTTGAAACAGACAATCATATTTACACTGCCATATAGTAAAGGCTTGCCAGAGGAAGAAAATAACCTTAGGTATAAGTTAAATATGCAGTTACACAACATGTCAAATTACAATATGAAGTTTCATATAATTGACACTAACAATTATGTTAGACAATATTTATATATGACGAAGGATAGGTGTTATCTTTCATTGTTTTGTAAACGACAGTTAGCAATATCGCTATCTTATTTTATTGATATAACAGCCAAAAACTTGGCTATTAAACCAGTTGCACAGGCAACTTATATTGATCCAGCCAAGGGTTTGGCTATGAATTCACATATTTTAAACTAGATGTAGGGACAAAGGAGGTAATCTCTAGCTTAAATTTACCATTTAGAATGGTATCAAAGAAATGTACAACCAACACTTTCACTGTAGCGCATCAAAATATTCAAGGAATGTCTAGTAAGCACCTAGAAATTGAATTGTTCATGAGCTGTGACAAAATTGATATTCTTTGTATTACAGAACATTGGCTAAAAAGTCATCAGCTCATGTTCAACTTCAGTAATCATATATTAGGTAGTTCGTTCAGTAGGGAGCGTGCTGTACATGGCGGTTCATTAATTTTTATTAGAAAGGATTTAACTTATAGGAACCGTATTGATATTTTAGGCTTCTCTGCTGAGCGGACAATAGAAATAGCATGTGTGGAGTTAGAGCAACTTATTGTATTGAGTGTATACAGGCCTCCATCCTCATCATATATTAGTTTTAAAAAAATTATGAACGAAGTCTTGCAGAAAGTATGTAAGTCAAACAAAAGTGTAATTGTGTGTGGTGATTTTAATGTAAATATATTGGAAGATACATCCTTGAGTTCAAGATTTAAAAACCTATTTGGGTCATACAATCTTGATACTATTTTTTTGGAGCCTACTAGGATCACAGCCACCACAGCCAGGTGCATAGATAATATATTTACTGACATAGTGCCACACACCAAAGGAGTAATAAACAAACTACATTCTGATCACTGTGGACAGATGTGTGCTTTTGCTATGAAAAACAGAGTGGTGGTAACACGAGATATTACTGTAGTACCTAAAACTGTAACTCGTATGGAAAATTTCAAAAATAAACTCATTAGTAAACTACCCCGCTTGGGTTATAGTGATGATCCTAATGAATTATATAACGCTTTTTTTAACATGTATTGTTCAGAATTTAAATCAACTTTCACTCCTAAGAAGTTGTCAGTTAAAGGTGCTACAACCTTCAGTGAATGGGCCACCGTAGGTATATATAAAAGTAGAACAAGGCTTTATGAGCTTTATGAAGAAAGAAATTATAATACTAGTATGGAATTTCGAGAATATGTCAAACAATATTCTAATTTATTTAAAAAAAATTGGTATTCTGCAAAAGTTAACTATTTAAGGTCTAAAATTAGTAATAGTTCAAATAAAATTAGAATGACCTGGGAAATAATTAATACAGAAACTGGTAAAGCAAAGAACAAATGTAATAATTACAGCCTTACAATTGATAATAAAGTAATTAATTCCGATATAGATGTCGCCACAGCTTTTGAAAAATTTTTCACAGACATTCCAATCTCAATAACAGAATCATTGAATTCGTCCCCCACTATTGCAGAATCTTTATTGAAAGAGAATATTAACATTTGTAATACTGAGTTTAGATTTAGTTGTATCACTGATAAAGATATAATAAAAACGTTCAATGCTCTTAGTGTTAAGAAAACCGCCGACCTTTGGGGTAATTCTGTACAAATAACTAAATCAATTATTAGCGTAGTTGCATCAGAGTTGGCCTTAATTTACAATAGGTGCATTGAATGTGGTGTATTTCCTGATTTGATGAAACACAGTAAGATCATTCCCTTATTCAAGGCGGGTAGCACGTCTGATCCTACAAATTATAGACCAATTTCAGTGTTGCCTACTTTCAGTAAAATTTTTGAGAAGATTATACTGGATCAGCTACAAACTCACTTTAGTGCAAGCAAAATTCTACACAGGAAACAGTTTGGATTCAGAAGAGGTCGCTCGACAAGTGATGCCGGTGTTGAACTTTTGGAAAATATATTTAGTGCCTGGGAGGATAAACAGGATGCACTGGGTGTTTTTTGTGATTTATCTAAAGCATTCGACTGCGTTTTTCATGAAACATTAATCAGGAAATTGCATTACTATGGGATTAGGAACACTGCTTTGGATCTTCTTATCTCTTATTTGGGTAATAGGATCCAGAGAGTGGAAGTTAATGGACAGAGATCCCTGGGGTCTCTGGTCACTATGGGGGTTCCGCAGGGCTCAATTCTCGGCCCATTTTTATTTCTTGTTTACATAAATGACCTACCTAATGTGATAAATGATAATCATTAGATAGTACTATTTGCGGATGACACTTCACTGTTATTTAAACTTAAACGACAGCAATCAGTAACTGATGACGTGAATAGCACTCTCTCTAAGGTTGTGAACTGGTTTAATGTTAATAATTTACTTTTAAACGAGAATAAAACGAAATGTATTAGATTTTTTACACCTAATGTTAAGCAGGTAAAGACCAATGTTCTAATAAATGGAAAGGAGTTGGATCTTGTGGACACCACCAAGTTTTTAGGTATAACACTAGACTCTAAATTGCAATGGGGCCCACACATTGACGGATTGTCGAATAGACTCAGCTCTGCAGCATACGCGGTTTACAAAATTTGTCAATTAACCGATGTAGAAACAGCTAGACTGGTGTATTTTAGCTATTTTCATAGTGTAATGTCATACGGTATTTTGTTGTGGGGAAATGCTGCTGACATTCAAAGTATCTTTGTGTTGCAAAAGAGAGCTATTCGTGCAATTTATAATCTTAGTTATAGGCAGTCACTGAGGGATAAGTTTAAAGAAATTGGTATCATGACAGTCGCATCTCAATATATATATGAAAATTTAGTGTATGTAAAGAAAAATAATCATTTATTCACAAAGTTTAGCGACATGCATAAAATAAACACTAGAAATAAAGATAAACTCGTGTTACCAACCACTAGACTACAAAAAGTAAGCAAGTCTTTTCGTTGTCAGGGTGTGCGATTTTACAATAAAGTGCCAAGCAAATTCCATGAATTAAGTATTAATAAATTTAAGTCTTTAGTAAAGCTAAAACTATGTGAAAAGGCTTACTACACTATTACAGATTATTTAGACGACAAATTTGCTTGGGATTGATGCTGCTCACTCCCACATTTACGTAGACATCTTTGTTGTTAAGTTTGAAAGTGATGGACATTTAATTATTATATTTTTGGTGTATTTCGTATTTTGTTTTCGTATTTGATTTTTCGTTGACTTTGAACTGTATAGTATTTTTTTTATTTTTTTGTGTAAGTATGTAAATGTGAGTACAGTATAGGCTTGTAATGTTAATTCATATTTTATTTCTTTCTGGTGGTTTTGAGTGTTTCCAGGGCCTACCCAAATGTCCTGCTGGCGGTAGTGTCGTGCTTCGGGTCGTTGATCCTGACCAATATCGGTTGGGCTACACGATGGCTGGAGCCTGTATGCCGTCTGTATGGACAGGTTGACTCAAAACTATGATCCTTTCCTCAAAAGGCCTATCCAGACCCTATACTGTACTCGCACAGTTTTATTTAACTTTGTTTACGGACTTAAAAAAAAAAAGACACCTCTGTGGTTTGTTTCGGCGTTTCTTCCCAGAGTGAGTCTTAGGAAATGCCGGCTCCTTCTAGCTATAAAGTCCGACTTGTAAAAATATCTGAAAAGATTTACTTACAGAAATAAATATCATTTCATTTCATCATTTATATCCAACACATAAATAAGATTGACGGGCCTGTTGGTCTAGTGGTTAGTGACCCTGACTGCTGAGCCGGAGGTCGTGGATTCGATTCCCACCCAGGACAAATAATTATGTGGTGAGCACGATCATTTGTTCTGTGTCTGGGTATAATTTATCTATAAAATGTATTTAGAAATATATGATTATGTTTATCAGCAGTCTGGTTCCCGTAGTACATTCTCTGCCTAGTTTGGGATCAGACAGTCGTGTGTGAGATGTGTGGAAAAAAAAGCAAAAAAAAGTACTGAAATTTTGCGTAAATCTTTTTTTCGCGTCCCCAAATAATGTGTTGTAAACCTTTGTGACATAAAAAGAAATAAAAAAGAAATTAAAACAAAAATATTTATTTATGTATATTTGTACAGTTACATTAACTCCTAACTAAACTAAACACTGTTTAATCTATATTTTACATTTACTTTTAATACACTATTGTGATGAAGAAATGTAACGTAATGTATATTTACAAAATTTTAGGTACATTTAATAATATATTGAAAAGATTTCTGCCAGGGTTTTCGCGGACTTTCTTCCTAAGGTATACCCAAGTTCCCTGCAATAGACTTACATGGGACGGAACACCGTGTGGTTTTAGTCAGTTCAATTCCATCATACCACTTCACTGTCATTCCTGCTGAGCTGATGACCCGTGGAGGCTTCCAAACGACAAAATATGTCTATGCTCTAGGAGTCTGCTGTCCTGGGAGCGTCTCCAATCATCTATAACCGTCTTAGTGCCACTTTAAGTCAGACACTTCATTATTCATTTAGTGTATTATCACAATTTTTTTGATGTTATAGGGAAAAACGAGCAGACGGGTCACCCGATGAAAAGTGATTATCGCCGCTCAACGACCATATGAAAAGTCAAAAGTGAGTTGTCACCTTTTGACCCCAAGAATCAGGGACTGCACTGATGGCGTGGTTTAAGCGATGGCTACGGCGCTTCCTACTGCGCTGAGTGTTGTTGGTTCAATCCCTACCTGGGACACCACTTTACATACTCTACAAATTGTTGTTCTGAGTGTGGGTGTTGTTTGTATCCGTTTGATGTATGTTTGTAAAGTCCCCCGCGACACAGGATATATTCCTAATGCGGGAGTTGTCTTTTAAAAAAAAAAGGGGTAGAAGTGTGGGCTACAGTAACAGCAAACTCACTTGATCACCGACTTTCTGTGAGACCGTGAAACTATGAAAAGGGTGTGCAAGCGAGCAGACGGGTCACCTGATGGAAAACGATTACCGCCGCCCATAAACGCCTGCAACTCAGGAGTCACAAGCGCATATCCGGCCTTTGAGGCTCTTTTCTTGGAAGTTTGAAGGTCGTATCGGTTAATTTCATTCAATTGTTTTGTGATAAAATAGATAAATTTGTATGTTATGTTATAGCCTAGATTTTTGTTTACTATATTTTGCATTTCCATTTTGGTAGAACATGCATTATCCTAACACCTTTAATGCTCTGTACTGTTTATGTTTCGCAATTAATAAATCTGAATCTGAATAGGATTTTAGCTGATTTCCTGTTTGTCGATGTAATCGTTTTCAGGCGTGACGAAGGAAGAATGAAAATTGGACAGAACACAAATGAGCTAGAATAGGTAATGGGACAGATACTGCTGTAATTTATCTTGGAGAGATCACTACACAGGGACATCGACAATATGGCTTAAAAAAAAAATTAATAGATTTGTCGCTGACCAACAAAAAAAAATTACAATGTCGACATAAACCACATGAGTCATCCCTAAAAGTAATTTCACGAAGAGTTTATTTTCTTATAAATTACTAGCTGACAAGAAAAACGTTGTAAACAAAAGACCTATTCTCATAGCTACCAAATAGGTACATGAAAAATCGGTAGAGCCGTTTCGGAGGAGTGCGACCACAAACACCGCGGGTTTTTTTAAATTACATGTATTAAACTCCTCCAACGTTACCGATTCTACTGATATGCATTTGGTACCGACACATAAGTTTTATGTATTTACACATATATTTTTCATTATAGATTGTATGCATAAATGTTTTCAATATAAAATGAAAGTTTTATCTTTAATAACATCACAGATTTACAACAATATTTAGTGTCTCTTAGTCTACTAATACAGCATTTTCTTTCACAATTAGCTTCATTTGAGCTTCAGGATCGTTTTTCTTCTTCCTGTTCTTACCCTTAAAAGTATCTTCTATATCTTGCAAAGTCCTATCTTTAGTCTCAGGCAACATAATATACATAATGCTTAGAAATACTGTCAAAATAGCTGAGTAAACTAAGTAGGCACCTTCAACCCCAATTGAGGCATACAAATGTGGGGCAGTTTTCATTGACACCACAAAAGACGGAGTCAGAAATGAAGTAGAAAACGTTGAACCTAAACTTCTATATGCTAAAGGAAACACTTCACCACATATCACCCAGTTTAGTGCCGCTAAACCTAAACAGAACGATAAAGTGTACAAAATCATCAAAGACATTGGTACAATATCTAGCAACCACGGTGCAGTGAATATTCCGGATCTTCTCAAATATATAAACACAGATATCGCTGACATTGAGAAAACAGTCATCACACCACTTGTAAATAAAATCGTCCGTCTCTTAAAAGACTTCAACAAGAATATAGCTAAAAAGGCACATACAGTTCTCAATAGGTCTATCACAGTAAACTGCCATGCGACGTCCGTAGGGTCGTCTTTATCTAGAACTACTTGGAGTATTATATTTCCATAAGCAGCGAACATATGTGCTCCACCAAACTCGAACACAATCAACATACTTATGGCTATAATAGCTGGTTTATAAAACTCTTTTCTCTTCAATATTTTTAAAATTTCGCTTATAGCTTCGAAAACTTTCTTAAACATATTATTGCAAGCATGCGTTTCGACTCTATCTCTTCGTTCTTCTGCGGTGTCTAACTCTTGAGCATCAATCATTGCTCGTAATTCTTCTTGTTCTTCTGGTCCTGTGCCTCGTACCCATTTGAAAGCCTTCCTTGCGTCCTCATATTTCTTTTTGGACACCAACCAGCTTGGGGATTCTGGTGAAAAGCTGATTATTGCCATAGCGATCAGAGGGAAGAGTGCACAAACTGCCGCAGTCATCTTCCACGTCAAATGGGCTCCCCACAAATGAGATAAAAATATTCCTAACCCTAAAGAGATAGCAAAGGTCCCTAAAAATGCTCCTCTATATTTTGGATCCGTGTATTCAGCTACTAAAATTGCTGCTAGAGGAGTTCGAAGGCCTAATGCTAATCCATGTAAAAGTCTTGCCACAATGAATAGAGGGACGGAGTTTCCGAAGATGAATACTATCCAGCCAAGCAATGCTGGCAAAGTTGAGATGAGATGAGCTCTTTGACGTCCAAACTTGGTCATTAGCACTGGAGATATGAAGTTCCCGACGATGCCCATCGCGCCGACCACAGACGCTGAAAAAAATAACAGTTTAAATTAACTTGTGTTTTAGTTGCATTGAATCCTATTTAATGATGAGATTTTGTTATTGTAATCAATCTTATTAAATTGGTTTGGTTTAACTTTTAAGGTTAGAGGTAAAGTCTGTTCGAGGAGGTTTCTGTGAGGTTTCACCAAAAACAGGTCTTTAGCGATTTCTTCGTTGTTGTTTACTGAGTCAGTGAGATCACCTAAGCCCTTTCCGTCCAGTCCTTTAAGTTGGACTCCAAGGGCGGCAATGAACTTGACAGCCTTCTTTTTTTTAAAGAAAATTTCCGTTTTTTCTTAAATACTTGTGGCTCTTAAGTCGTAGGAGTGCAAGGGCGGTGGTAGCCACTTACCATTGGGTGAACCGTCTACTCGCTAGTTTTACTACGAATAAAATATTTGCAATATATTTAACCATGACACATTACATTAACTTAACACCACATTAACTTTTAGTAGTCCACTGCTGGACATAAGCCTCTCCTTAAAAAGGGGGTTTTGGCGTACTACCTGTATACTTAACCGAATACCCTAAAATTTGATGATAATATGTGAATGTTTTACATTTATATGTAAGGATTCTTAAAAGAGCCAATGAGGAGGTTCCCTTTGCAGTCTTACCTATCCAGGAAGTGTCATGATCAGTCAGCTTGACAGGTCCTCCGTCTCTATTGATTTGGGCGAACAGCACTGCAGGATACCCATGAGCGCAGCCATGGCCTGCTATATTCAGCGCTGCACCGCTCACCACAAAAGCCTGAAATATTTAAATCAGTATGTTGAGCCAAAAATAAAATTATGTAGTGTCTGACCAAAAAATGTTTTTCAGCCGAAACTGAAACCGAACTTTCGGCCCTTGTTTTCATTTTCGGCCGAAACCGAAAAACTTACTATCATTTTAAAATTTCGATTGTATACAGAAATCTAGTATATTTATAGCCTTTTATCTGAAGTAAGTACCACCTAAAACCACTATAATAAGGTAGACACACGGCATTAATTAAGACAATAAGAGAAAATGTCTTAAGTTAGATAGATAAAAAAAGGTAGATAGGTACAAAGCACTAGAAATTACCTCACGTGATAGGCAGGAAAGGACGGGGAAAAGTGGCTGACTGAGTAATTTGAACAGACTACACGCGTTTCTCATAGATAAACACTGAGAAGGACACAGATTCAGTGCGGCCGAAACTAGGTTCTGGCCGAAACCGATATTCGAACCGAAACTAGATTTTTTGGCCGAAACCGAACCTTCGGTCGGTCACTAAAAATATTTTTAAATATTAATGGTATATACCATGACGTGGAAATAATGATAATAATATTGTACCACATTCACACAACGCCATCTAGTCCCAAACTAAGCAGAGCTTGTACTATGGGTACTAGACAACTGATATAGATACATATTTACTTTTTTTTTTGTAAATACATACATATTATACATAGAAACACCCAGACCAAATCAAACAATAAAAGTTCATGCACACAAATGTTTGACTTGAGCGGGAATTGAACCCGCGACCTTTGGAATAGCAGACCGTTACACAAACCACAACGCCATCCGGTCGCATAAATGATTAAAAACTATAAAAAATTGTAATGGGAGTGGTGGTGGCATAGGGAGCAACCGCCCCTTCCTTCCCCCACAGGATTAGAGGAAGCGGTTAGGTTATGAGTGACTCATGCCGTTAAAAGTAATGAAAGTATTGCTAATACGGCTTCACTCCGGTCACGGTAAAATCATTAAATAAATTCGTTCGACCATCATCATGTCAGCCAAAAGATGTCCTCTACTGGACATAGGCCTCTCCCAAGATTTGCCACAACAACCGATCTTGTACCTTCACCAGTTCATTGGACCACCTTTTGGGGGGTCTACTCTTGCTGCGTTTTCTAGTACGCGGTCGCCCCTCGAGAACTTTGTGACCCGACCACCCGTCAGTCCTTAAGTTCACTCTATAACCCCGTTCGACCATAAATCATTAAATTTGAATAGGTATTTCGTTTAATTTCACTAAGCGACTATTATAAGTCCGCGTGGTGACGGATTAAGAATACGGAGTGTCACCACCCCTATTCATCCCCTGGGTGTCGTAAAAGCCGACTAAGGGGACAAACTACGCAGGACAACAGCGGCAAAGAGAAGGAAAACTTGACACAAACCCTATACCAACCCGTCTGGCCAGCGTGGTATAGTAGGCCAAAACCTCCTTTCTAAGGAGAGGCCTATATCCAGCAGTGGATTATTCAAGGCTGTTGATGTGATGTGAAGCGACTATTATAAATCCATAAAAGTTACACTGCCTTTGCATAAACTTTCCATAATATCATCAATGAAATATAGAAGAATTGACTTTTAAACAATAGAGTAAAACTTCTACCTATTCCTATACTTATAGAATTTTTATAACTTCCAAGTTAATGAACCCATAAATATTAACAAAGCAAATGTTGCCAACAATCAAAATAATATCTGCAAATAGGCGTAAACAGGAAGTACACAAAGACTAATTTTTCCACATCTTCCTGATTTTAAAGCAAAAAATATTAACTTGCCAGAAACGAATTAAGTTAATCGATTTTGGCGAAACCAATAATGTATACAAAAGATTAGAGCAAAAAATACATGCGTAACATAGGCCAATTTTACGGGATCAATAGAAGCAAAAAATGATCTATTTTTATTTAAGTTCTAAAAATTCGTTAAAAAAACTATTCACAGGTCACGCGAAACGAATAACAAAGCAAGACTTGATGAGATTTTTAGTAATCAATTTGTTAAAAAAGTTATTAAAAGGCAGGCCAGTCCAGTAGTTTTTAGCCATAATGACATGCAACTACATCGAAAACGGCAAAAACCATTCAGAAGATAATTACTTCCTCAAATTGTAAACAGAATTCTGGCCAGATGTGATTTCATCATCATCAACAGTTAATAGTCCACTACTGGACATAGGCCTCTCCTTAGAAAGGATGTTTTGGCCTACTATACCACGCTGGCCAGACGGGTTGGTACAGGGTTTGTGTCATGTTTTCCTTCTTTTTGCAGTGCTGGTGTCCTACGTTGTTTTGCGCCCTTAGTCAGCTCTTACTACTCACACGGGATGAATTGAGTGACATTCCGTATTCTTAATCCGTCACTACACGGACAGGATTTCGATATGATTTCGATCAAGTCTAATTAAGTCTCTTTTGGAGCTACCCATGCCAAAAGGACGTATGGCTACTTCCACATACAATCCAATACATACTTTAAAATCATCTAACTAAGACACACAGGACTACAGAGTAACTACTAATATAGCAATGCGCAATGAAAGTCCTCGCACCGATTAGTTTACATTTAGTCAAAAAAGTATCGGGAATGGATGATTTGTTTATGGTTCCAAATTTAAATTTTTGTTTTTTTTTCTTGTTGTTATATTGGCACAACTGTTTTCCATTTTGGCGCGGAGTTTGAGTTGCATCTGTTATTTATATTAAATACAGTGCTGGTTTTAGTTATATCTGTGTTTTTAGTTGGATCTAGTGTCATCGAACAAAGAGTTTGTCTTAAATTTTGCATCGCCATTGGAATTTCGTCTTCGGAGTCACTAAAAATGTTACAGAAGGCTTACGGTGAATCGACTTTATCAAAAACAAGTGTGATAAAATAAATTTGGATGAATAACAAACATTTTGTGTATTATTTGTTGTTATTATGTTATCTTTTCCCTTTACTTTCTTGACAGAGTAGTATATACAAGTTCCTAACATCAACATGGGCGGGGTAGGTACGTCGAAGTTAAGAGCGAGTGCGCGTAACTTCTTGAAAACATTTAAGCTCTGTTCTGTGATTTGTAGTATCGTATTATGTATGATTGGGTATAATACAGGCAAAAAAAAAAACTATTGCAAAATACTTCTTACTTCTTAATACAGTTTAGTTACTAATAAAATTGTACTAATGATTAAAACATGTTAATATTTTTTGAAACGACTGAAATGGCTAACGGTAATCCTGTAAGATTCAATTTAGTGTTTCGTGAACGATGAGAACCATAGTAGATACTTGAATGAGGTATTTTATTAAAGCTATTAAATAAAAAACTTATTATCATTGAAGAAATCAATGGAACTAATAACGCTATAAGAAAAATCTCTTGATAGTATAATTAGAGACTGGGCGGTCAATTTATTGCCTGTCGCATAAAAAAAGGTGTTAATTAGAGGAATAAACTTAAATGCTGAACAATAACATCTGACATTTAAACCGTTTAAAAAACAGACAAATTACTTAATTACTTTTGAAATTAATTATATGATTTGAGGACATTCGGAATATAGAACAAATCGTGCTAGTGTGACCTACATATCTGAATTGGGCTTTTTGGCTTTTCGGGGTCTTTTAAAATTGGATAAAATATACCTACATTTAAAAAAACTACGGATAACGCTTTTTATGCTAGAGGTCTGTATTATTAAATAATTGATTATTTTTTGGGACATTACGGTAGTTAAAAATTGTACTTGAAATAATACTGAAATCATTTGAAAGAAATCGCTAGAAGAAATATTAGAGCAGCATTAGATTGCCAGTTTAGTACATTCAGTGTCAAATTTCCTGTGAAAGGGTATCCTTGTTTACTTATTCTTTCTATACAATAACTTTATAAATAAATAAGAGGTCGCTTTGTACCAGAAAGCTGTCATTATTAATGTAATCAAGGGATAGAAGGAGTCCTAATGCGCTACCCTGGGGAACGCCACAACATTGTGTTTGTAATATTTTTCTTTGGTAAAGGGTCAAACGAACTGACGAGTCATCTGATAGTAAATGACTATCGCCGCCCGTGGAAACATACAACTCAAGGGATATATGTGTGTTGCAACCTTTGTCTGGGCTCTGGTAACTTGGCTCACACAGTGAAAAGCAGCGAAGGAAAAAGAAAATCTTTTTTTGTCTTTTACATAGCATCCTTAAAATTATAACAGTACTTGTATAATAATAATACTTAAAGACAAAATGTTCTTGGACTTAGCGTATGGATGACAGTGCAAAGGACGCTACGCTGTTATTCTTCAGTCTTAGATTAAGTACAATGACAACACCATGACCAGGTTTGTGTACGAATTTCAAAGAATTTGTGATAGAATTACTTAACACCGATTTAGAAATATATTAGTATGTTTATCAGCAATCTGGTAACCATAGACTCTGCCAAGTTTGGGATCAGACCACCGTGTGTGTTGTGTGAAGTTAATATTATATTATTACTATTTAGAATTTTAAAAACTATGTTTTTTAAGAGTTACATGTTGTGACATCATTACCTGTGTTTATTTCTGTTATAAATATTTTATACTTGTTTTATAGTTTATTTATGTTACCTTGTGCTTGTTTTCTGCAAATTTAATTGCTTAGTTATATTGATGTCTTTATCTTATTATTATTATCTTGTAATTAAAAATGTAATCAATTAAAAATACGTAGTTTGATAAAAAAAATTATCATCATCATCTGAACCAAAAGACGTCCACAGCTGGACATAGGCCGCTCCCAAGGCTCTCCAAAACAACCGATCATGTGGACTATGTCGTCGGACCACCTTGTAGGGAGCCCACCCACCACTCCAGAACCCCATCGGCCGTCTTTTCTAAGTGCAATGAGCCCCTTGATTGGATATCTAGCTATATATGCAAAGTTTCTTCCATTTTTATTTGACTTTTTGTCCGATTTCTTTTAACTTTGGAATTTTGTTATTTAATCAAAAGAATGATTAAATGAGATGAAAAGAATTATTTATGAGTTCATTGACAACCTTTCAGTATTTTTTTTTTATTTTAAATATTTTGCTCATGTGCTTGTTAACAGCCATTTGAAAATAATTTTTGAAAATAATTTAATTAAGCGAAAGGTTTCATTTTTCTTATATCTCATTTTTTGTAGTCTATGGTATTAGAAAAAATAGAAGAAGTTGACATATTTACCTGCTTTAAAAATGGCTTCATAACTGCACGACTTCATACAGGTAACTGAATCTGTGGACAAAGAAAAAACAAAATAAAAACTATGGTTTAATATTCTAATTTGCTTACATTATACCGAAACGATACACACACGCGAGCACACACACACACACACTCATACAACTAGAAACAGTAAATATATACAACATAAATGTATAAATATTAGTTAAGTCCTAGGCATAAGATAAACGTATTGTTTGAAAGTCACGACACATGCTCTGAATAGTGTGGCTGTCACAGTAATTGTAACATCGTAACAACAACCTCCATCGTTCCACACGGCAAAATTTTCATCCCCACCACTGGGATAATTGGCGCTCCACCACTGTGCGCTTTTCAAGACACTTTTTGCCTGGCACTACCAATCTGTGGAACAAGTTATCGGCTGCGGTATTTCCGGACCGATACGACCTTCAAACCTTTTAGAAAAGAGCGCACTCCTTCCTAAAAGGCTGGCAACGCGCTTGTGACTCCTGAGTTGCAGGCGTTCATGGGCGGCGGTAGTCGCTTTCCATAAGGTAACCCGTCTGCTCGTATGCAGAGAGCATCCATTTAAAAGAAAGAAACATGCTATGTAATATATTTGAAAATAAATTATCATTATATTTTGATTTTGTTAATCTCCCTGAAAGGGGTATAATTATCTAATTTCACGATATCCGTGTGGTGACGGATTAAGAATACAGAGTGTCATCACCCCTATTCATAACGTGGGTGTCGTAAGAGGCGACTAAGGGAGCAAACTACGCAGGACAACAGCACTGCAAAGAGAAGGAAAACTTGACACAAACCCTATACCAAGCCGTCTGACCAGCGTGGTATAGTAGGCCAAAACCTCCTTTCTAAGGAGAGGCCTATGTCCAGTAGTGGACTATTAAAGGCTGTTGATGTGATGTGATGTGATACGTTGATGCATTAACCCTGAGTGCTATATGCTATAAATCATATTCATGTGGTCTGTATTAGCTGAGCTACCACATTTTTTGTTAAGCAAGTCGGAAAATTGGCAATGGCTGGCAGGAGCTGGATGCGAGAAGCCCAAAATCGATCTAAGTGGCGTGCAATGGGAGAGGCCTATGTCCAGCAGTGGACTGCGATAGGCTGATGATGAAGTCGGAAAATTATACCAGAATATATTGTAACCGAATTATTTGTATGCTCTCATATAATTAAAAATAATTTGTGAATACCTGGTCCTTCTTAAATAATCCTACGAAAAAGTCAGCAACGCCATATTTCTATAATTATATTTTAGCCACTGCTAAGCCAGATGTCGTGGGTTCGATTCCCACCCAGGATATTCCAATTGTATCATGAGCATGATCACTTGTACTAATTGTTCTTTTATTATAATAATATGTATTTGGAAATATATTAGCTGACCGGGCAAACGTTGTATTGCAAAACAAAAAAAAATTGGGGATGGGTCACCCTTACCATTTAGGGGTATGAAAAACAAATGTTGGCCGATTCTCAGACCTACCCGATATGCACATAACATTTCATGAAAATCGGTCCAGCCGTTTCGGAGGAGTTTGGTAACAGACACCGCTACACGAGAATTTTATATTCTAGATAAATATGTTTTTTTAACAGTTTGGTTATGATTGAACGGCTTTGCTTACTTTGGGATTAGACGACCGTATGAGAGATTTCTTAAATGGATAGCGTAGTGGTTCGTGACACAGGATGTATTGCTAATGCATTGAGTTGCCTTTAAAAAAATAATTATGCCGAAACATGGCTTTTCATGGATATTCGGGATACACTCAGGAACTACTGGTTCGAATTCAAAAATTATGTGATCCACAAATTGTTGTTCCAAGTCTGGGTGTTATTTGTGTCCGTTTCATGTATGTTTGTAAAGTCCCCCGCGACACAGGATATTTTCCTAATGCGGGAGTTGTCTTTTAAAAAAAAAAAAAAAAAAAAGTGTTGGATAGCCCTTTTATCGAGGAAGGCTATACATCATCATGCTACGACCAATGGGAGCTGTGTATCAAAGAAAAATGTTGGGAAAATGTATTACTTTCGAGCAGATGATGACGTGGGACAGCTAGTGTTGAAGCGCCTACGCAATTCGCGTGCGCAATGGTGCGTATGCCCATAGGACGTCTATCTACTTTTTTGGGGCGTTAAGCTTATGTTATACTAGCTGACCCGCGCAACTTCGTCTGCGTCTCTCAATAGTAATAAATTTTCTCCGTTTTTGAAACATTCTTCATTGGTGCTCCGCTCCTATTGGTCTTAGCGTGATGATATATAGCCTATAGCCTTCCTCGATAAACGGGCTATCTAACACTGAAAGAATTTTTCAAATTGGACCAGTAGCTCCTGATATTAGCGCGTTCAAACAAACAAACTCTTCAGCTTTATAATATTAGTATAGATATTACATAGATGTCGGTATATTATCATTGTGAACTTCATTCTGTACTGTTCAGCCATTACAAGTTTTACCACATAGCTGCTTTTTATTTTAAATTTATTAGCCGGAAAACAGTATGTACAGCTAGGATGATAACAAAATGAACCTTTATACAAATGTATTCTGTTTCATGATCACCTAGACCTCACTCGTGAACCGTTAATTTATTCATGACAAAGTAAATACCAATTATTATTGATTTATGTAAACAAAGCAACAATACACACATTAATGCAACCTTCGGTGCGTTTAAGTGCAATTGTTTATTGAATAAGATAAAAGTATATTGTATAAGATAAACTGTATTGATTAAAGTTTGTTACAAATTGTTTTGCTTAAACGGGCCTGTTGGTCCAGTGGTTAGTGACCCTGACAGCTAAACCGTAGGTCGTGGGTTCGATTCCTACCTAGGACAAATATTGTTCTGTGTCTGGGTGTAATTTATCTATAATATGTATCTATTTAAAAATATATAAGTATGTTTATCAGCAGTCTGGTTACCATAGTACAGGCTCTGCCTTGTTTGGGATCAGACGGCCGTGTGTGAGATGTGTGAGATATATATAAATAGACTACTCCCGCACTATGCATATATACATACTCGTATATATAACCTGTGTCGCGGGGGGCAATACAAACATGTATGAAACGGACACAAAGAACGGCCAAACTGAGAACAATAAACCCACAACACCCAGCGCAGTAGGAAGCGGCGTGGTGACCGCTTAAACAACTACGCCATCGGTGCCGACATAATCAAAGAATACGTTGAAATAATTGATACAATAAAATCCTATTACGTTCCTTATTTTTTATTATATATTCCCCGCATTAATAAAGACTACGTACTGTTAATGTACCGTGGAGAAGCTATGCTTCGACACAAATGGACCAGTTGAACCGGAACGATACCTCACAGAAAACCGGTGTTAACCAACTCAACCCTTCCGGCTGCAATGCCCTTGTGACTCTAAAGTTGCAAATGACTCGGTGATCCATCTCATTGTTTGCCACTGCATACTATAAAAAAGCTAATGCGTTTACGCGGCAAAAAGTTAGCAAGGATTGTCTGCAGCTTAAGTTATTGAATTAACTTATAATTGTTTATGCATTTATTAAACTCAACAATCGTGATTAAAAACTCCTTGTTTTAATATTACTTGGAATTGGACGCGTACTTAAATAGCATGATGGTGTCATGACAGGCCAATAGGTCTAGTGATTAAATGAGTCACATTGCTGAACCGTCGTCCAGGTCGTGGGTTCGATTCCCACCGAGGATAAATTTTATATAATGAGCTCGATGATTTGTTTTGTGTCAGGGTGTAATTTACAGTTTACAGTTACAGTCAAACTTGTACTATGAAAACTAGATTGACTGATAGAATTCTTATATACTTTTTGTTTTAATACATAGGAAACACCAAAACTCCGAAACAAATATTTGCAGATCATACAAACATTTGGTCCAATCCGATAAGGCAAGTATGAAATTGCCGTTGTATAGTAGTAGATACTCGTACTTTGAAATGACACAAAACCTTCATGGTGTGAAATATTCGTGTGAAACTTTTTTCAGATGACACCTATGAGGTTCCTCTTTTAAAAAATTTACAGCATTCTATTTTCGAGTAACCATTGCTTTTTTTTTTTTTTTTTTTCTTTTTTCAGCTTAGTTGTGAAAGATGGATACTTCGAATAGCCCAGTTATTTTTTAATACGAGTACCGACGCGGAACTAACTATAACGCGGAGCAACGACTGACAATATCAACGCTGCGTTTGATATTTTGATTAAATAAATATGCTACATCTTAAACAAAAAACGAGTTTCAATTTTTAGCACAAATCGGCAATTTCATACTTTAACCCCTAATATTGTTCTTCATCAACCGCCTATAATAGACCACTGCTGGACATAGGCCTCTCCTTAGAAATGAGGTTTTAGCTACTATACCACGCTGGCCAGACGGGTTGGTACGAGGCTTGTTTCAAGTTTTCCTTCTCTTTGTATTTCATATTGTTCTTAATGAGAATTAATATCTTAACCAAAAAAAGTTTGCAAGAGTACAAATGCAAATTGATTTAAGAAAATGCCTGGAATATGTTTATGAATGAATGTAGTCTTTGAAATTGAATTTGTTTGTTTGATTGAACATGCTAACCCAAGGTATTAATAGTTATAATTTAAAAATTATTTAAGTCTTGGATAGCCTTTTCGACGAAGGCTATAATACATCACGCCACGACTAATGGGAGTTGAGCATCAATGAAATTTTTTGCAAAAACCTGGAGAACTGAACCTTTTGAGAGACACAGAGGCTGTTGCACGGGTCTACTAGCTGACCCGTACTTTATATTTAAATTGTTTATTTCCTCTATAGTCATCTCCATGATATAACAGAATGGGATCAATTAAAATTGTGTTTATAATTTAATTACTTGGTATGTAAACAATGGACACATTGCGACATTACAAGGCGATGGCAATCTCTGTTTTATCGTTTAATTGTCGTCGTTATATCGTCACGATTAACGATATAATTTTTAGCTTT